AAGAGTGGTCAGGCATTGGAACAGGCTACCCAGGGAAGTGGTTGAGTCACCATCCCTAGAGGTATTTTAAAGACGTGTAGATGTGGCACTTCGCGACATGGTTTAGTGGTGGACTTGGTAGTGTTAGGTTAACGGCTGGACTCCATGATCTTAAGAGTCTTTTCCAACCTAAGTGATTCTGTGAATAAAATCCAAAAGGTGTTTCACAGGAGTCCATGAAAAAAGTAAAAGAACATTTGGATAGTTAAACAAACTTACAGTCAAAAATCAAAGCAGTTACCCAAAAGTACCAATTTCAGCATTTTAGAAGCCACATCCCTGCCTGTTACTTGTCATGACTGGGAAAGATAAATAAACCCATTATTCTATAAAAATACCAGTAATAAAAATGATGGAAAGAAGCAGTAAAGGCTGACTGGGTATGCAGGGTGTATGGTTGTTGTTGTTATTATTTCACTTCATGACCCAAAAATGCACTTTATCTCTATACCTTGGAAAGGCATCTAGCTCCATTCTACAAATAAACCCAAGGCCACAAGGCAGTCCCGTAGAGGAGAAAGGAATTAATGGAGCATGCCTGAGAAAAGTCTTTTAGTGCCAGTCACAGACAGCAGACCAAAACTGCCTGCTTTCCTCAGCTTCAAAAATGAAATTCTTGTGTCTTCCTTTTTTTTTGTTGTGGGGTGGGGTTTTTTGGTTTTGTTTTTTAAAAACAAACCTTAAAGAATGTAACAGCAGGTGATAGGAACTAGGCAAGGAAATGGATGACAGTATTTAGTAAACTTCAAGGCAACAATCATTCAATTTCTTAGAGTTACTTTAATTCCTACTTTAAAAAAAAATTAATTACAGTATGTAAGTAGTCCTTAATCCACAAGGCCCGCTTGTGAATCTGTCCAGCGTTTTTCAAAACTATTTACATTTACACAAATAAGGGACAAATTGCTCTGAATTGTCTGTGCAGTTTGCTTCCAGCTGTCTTATGCATGATGAACAAAAAGATCAAGTAACTCTTGCATGGCATCATGTATTTAAACAAACTTACCAGAAGCATCAGCATAAATGATCCCAGGTATATGATCAGAAAAAACACAGAAATCATAGCTAGAGTGAGAATTCCACGAATCCACCAATTTTTCCATCTATTAAAAAAAAAAAGAGAATAAAAAGCAAGCAATTATAAAAGAAAATACATCACAGAATCACAGAATCACAGAATCACAGAATAGTAGGGGTTGGAAGGGACCTCTGTGGGTCATCTAGTCCAACCCTCCTGCCGAAGCAGGGTCACCTACAGCAGGCTGCACAGGA